CAACTTTTTAAAGAATCAGCCGAACTAGCAATCCTCAACAACTTTTTAAAGAATCAGCCGAACTAGCAATCCTCAACAACTTTTTAAAGAATCAGTCGAACTAGCAATCCTCAACAACTTTTTAATTTTTACACCAGGAGCTAAAGGTTCTGTTTCAGGAAATCACATCCCCAGCAATCGGCGGTTGTAGAATTAAGTTGTAAAAGATTTCCTACACCACTAGTTGGCAGTGTTGTGTATATATTATACATGAATTGTTGCCAGCTAGTAAGTGTCAAATTGAACTTGCGCTTTAAAATTAACTTCCGCTAGTTTATCTAAGACATAAGCGATTTTGAGGTTGTGGACCTAAATATTTTCATAAGCGCTTTAGAAATTGCGGCGCTAAATTTTTGAATTAGCGCTGCGCACCACTGCAACCAGGTGCTTTAAAAAAACCGGGCTGCACGGTTTGTTTTGTCCCAGGTTCAACGCTGACGTTGACATTGACCACCAGCTGGGTCCCCGGCTCCTCCTGAGCGCCCGCACCCTGAACACCCTGGTGGTGTGTCCCCTCTACATCAGCGCGGCGTACCACCACCTGGAGTGTTTCCYGCTGCTGCTCAGCGCCGGCGCTCAGCCCGACTTCAACTACACCGGGCCCGTCTGCCAGGAAGCCCTGACCCGCGGCCTTGCCTCCTGCCTGCTGGACGCGGTGCTGCGACACGGGTGCGAGGCGGCTTTCGTGCACCTGCTGCTGGACCACGGCGCCGACACGGCACTRGTGCCCTGGGACAAGTCCGAGCTCGAGGCGCGGAACCGGAGGAAGGTGGATCCAGAGGCACTCAGGGTCTTCCTGGAAGCGAAGAGTGAGTACAAATAACTTTTGGACAACTCCAAAAACAAGAAAATGTAAGATTCTGACAAAACTTGAAGCTTTTTTTTGTGGATTTTTGGGAAATACATATTCACAAAGGGTAACATTATCCTATGTAATTGCAGAATTTCTCAATAAGCCTAATTTAATCAACAATTTATTCTCAAAGAATGCAAAAAAAAGTGGTTATTTAAAGGTTTTAATTGTTAAATTAATCCTCAGAAAGTTCCGAAACACAAACAAGCTGCGTCATGTTTTTTTTATTTCATGCACTTACAAAAGAGGAATCCATTACATGCGTGTATTTTTTGCTGAATCTAAGATTTCAGTGACTCAGCAGTCTTGGTTGTGTGATTTTCCTTTTTGTTATTTGATGCTTTGTGCATTTTTAATAGGACTGCAGGCGAGACGCTCAGGGACACATTCTGGTGTTCATGAAACCTGTAAACCGTGCAGAACGAGGTCAAACAATGTTCTGTTATAATTGTTTTTCCGGGACAATGCGTCACTTTCACGACTGTTTTTGATGGTTTATCTGAACCTAAATGAACTTGCTTTTCTTTTTGATCCCAGGAAACCCTCGTCGGCTGACGCACATGTGTCGCATCAGGATCCGCAGAGCTCTGGGCAAACACCGCCTGAATTACGTGGCTACGTTACCGCTACCACAACCTATAAAGAACTTCCTGCTTCACCAGAACTGAGCACCGTCCACCTCACGGTCTTGTGAAGTGCTCATCCAAACTGGTGTTTGGGTGGGGGGAGCTCTCTGTGAGTCCCAAAGACAAGTTTCTGATCCGTTCTTCATGATAATAAATCATTTTATTTTTTCATGAATGTTTGCACTTTAGCAGTTGTCTCATCTTTGTGTCAGGATTATTTGAATTAATTCTGGAGGGATCATAAAAGTCTTGGTCATGTCTTGAATTGTGATGTGTCCTACATTCAGTGTTTTTCATCAGGATGTGATCTGGTTCCTGCACTTTTAGACTAAAAAACAGAGTACTGAACTGGTTTAAACTCCATTATTGGTCTGATTTAGCTCTTTTTTATTTTTTAATTGCTCTTGTATTCATGCAAACTTGGATTTTAAATCACTTAGGCCTAAAATCCTGATTTCTAATCATTTCCTCGATGCTTCATTCAGTTATTTGTAAAGTATTTATTGATTGAAGTCAGCTGCACATACAGTAGCTACCTTTTTTAATTTTCTCATTGACATTTGTGCAACAACAGATGAATCAAAGTAGTTTTATCTCACACTAGGGCTGCCACGATTAATCGATTAATCGACGACTAATCGATTATTAAAATAATCGATGACTAATTTAATAATCGATTAATCGTTTTCTCTTTTTTTGGTTGTTCTTTGCTTTGTTTTTCTCTCCAAACTGCTTGGACACCTTCCACTGCCACATCTGCCTTTCTGTCCTTGACACACATGCACAGTAGTGGTANGTCCTTGACACACATGCACAGTAGTGGTAACTGGGGTAGGCCGTGCACGTCACAAGACATTATACAGACAGGCTCTGGTATCATGGCTACCTGACAACAGAGCTCAAAGTGTGGGATCATTTTAAGAAAATAAAAGAGAAACCAGTGCAATACTGTATCCGTAAGGCAGAACTTGCCTTCCACAACAATTATTTTTAGTTAGCATATAGCTAAAATCTAACCATGGTTATATAATAGCAGCTGTATTCTGGCGCGATAAGCTCTATGTTTATATTCAATGAACGTATGATCCGATTAGTCGACTAATCGAATAAATAATCGGTGATTAATCGATTATAAAAATAATCGTTTGTGSCAGCCCTATCTCACACAAATAAATTTAATATCCAAAGTTGGCACAGGTCAACTCTACAAGATAACCATCAAGCTCCACTGCTTCAGGGAGCAAGGGTTCTCTGCAGACTCAAAGTAGGCGTTTCTCAAGCATAAACGCTGATTGGCTGGATGTATTTGCTGTTTTTCAAAATGCTTCTCTTTCATTATTCTTTCATTTTTGACTTTAAATACTTTTACATTATTTTAGCAGACAAAACTTATTTTTTTAAATCAAATCACAATGTAGCATTAAAACAAACATTTAGTTCTCCCAATTTCTAAATATCTAAAAAAAATCGCTACTGACTGATGCTTTTATTTTGAAATGTAAGCCGGAGTTCTTTATTAAGGGAGGCGGACATAATGAATGAAGACGTTAAGACGTAAGTTATTCCCAAGTCTTCTGATGACCTCGGTAACAACAGCAAGTTCATGAAACTAAATAAATAAATGAAAGTCTGATGCTAGCTAGAAAAGTAAGCTAATGATATGAAGAAACACCTAAGTGATGGTCATCCAATCWGATGTGTCCCTTGAGAAACGCCTACTTTGTCTGCAGACAGGCATTAGGAGAGCTCCACTGTGATTCGATGGAGAGGAATCCAGTTTGTGGTTTGTGCCTCTAGGTGGCACTGCATCCTACACAATACACTTAAAAAATTAATTCTATGTATTTATGTGGTTCTACATATATATAAATAAAAGAGCAATTAAAGGCACTAGATCCTTGAAATACTGTGTGAAGGAAATTAAATGCATTTTAGATCTAATTAAATGATATTGTTTTTTGCAAACCTAGAATTTCATTGTCTTTAAAACTGACGATCTATACAACAACAAATTAAATGTATTTATTATCCAGGAAGCTGCCTTCTTTGTACATCGGTTGTTTTTTTTTATAAACACTTCCATGTAAATACTCAGCATGCTGATTTGTTGTTTTGCTTAAATGCATGTGTCGTTTGGATTTGCATTCATTAAATGTGAMTTCAGATTGTTCCTTGTATGTTTGTGTGTATTTTTATACATCTTGTTAATCAGGTTCTTTTATATAAAACCCTAAAACGTACTTGATTAATTTTCTTCTTGGAACAGCTGATAAAAATAACTATGAAAATTGAAATTGAATTTAAACATTTTTTTGTGAGTGTAGGCAATACTGTATGTCCTTATGTTTAAAAACTAAGAAACTAATTTACTTTTTCAAGCACTGACAACTTTTTTTCTCAGTTTTATTTATTTTTCCCCCCAAAACTGTAACTTCCGGAACCTTCTGGGAAAGCACTCTACTTTAATGTAAGCGTGAGACGACTTCGATGTTTGATATATTTATAAAGCTGATAAATGAGTCAAAATGTCAGAGTGTTTGAGAAAACAGAACTGGTCCAGCAGAAAATGCTCAGCCTGGGAAACCCTGAATGGAAACAGCAGGAGGCCCAACAGCAGAGCAGGATCCTGGACTTGAGTCATAAAGAGGGTCACGCAAAGACCCGACAACATTGGACGCCGTCAGAACTGTAATAAGGCTGAAAGAGAAGAAGAAATAAAAGCCAAGCATTCCTTGTAAGAATTCATTTCAACCATCATTGCCATCTTTTAAGCCAGAGTTTTAGATTGAAATCATCAAATGCTGAGAAAAGAAGTTGCAGCCATTTGGGGTCAAACTTTGAAAATAACACTATATCAGGGCTATTCAACTAAACTGCTCCGGGGGCCACGTTTAATGCAGGCCAACAGCTCAGGGGCCGAACATCCAGCAATTAGTCATTGTGTAAATAAACAAAGTATTGCAAAGATCCGTTACATTTGAAATAGTTTATTTTACTGCGTTTAATCATGAATACAACATACAGAACCATATGTAATAAATTAGTAATAATAAAAATATCAAAAACAAAAATAATACATTATGCGTCCTATTCTCAAAGAAATTATATTAAAGTAGAAAACCGGGGCTTTGGGCTTAAAGGGGCAATATTATGTGTTTCTCAGGCATATATTTAAATACTATACCATAATAAAGTATATATGTCACCTTCAGCTGTTATTAAAATGCTATTTTTATATTGAAATAGAAAATAAACCTATCTTCTCATCACTTCCTCTTCTAAACACTTTGAAATTGGCCTCTGTCTCTTTAAGAACCACCTTCCGCTTCCGTTTTGCCCATTTCGGTGCGGGAGGTCGCGCTCGCGGGGGAAGAAGGGGGGGCTGCCATGATACAGTTTACTTGGCATCTGAAAATACATTTCCTCAAAGGTATTTTTAATCTGAAACGAGCTTCACTGAGTGAGAACTAATATTGAGGACTCAGCAGACAGTTAGGTTTCACTTTCACTTTCATCCGAGAGCCTGCAGGGGTCATGGGCGGAGTGTGTGTGTGTGTGGGGGGGGGGGGTGCTCTGCCATGATGAAGTTCGGCTTAAAAACACACCCCAGGGGCGTTTCTGGTACCAAAAGGTGTTTCTGGTCCCCACCTGTCGTTTTGCTCCTCAGCATGGCTTCCTAAAAACACTGCAGGATTTCTCAAACATGCATGAATGAGTCAAAGCAAGGCTTTGGGCATGGTTTTTATGAGAGTATAACATTATAACATGATATAAAACTCAAAAAATTAGATTTTACATGATATTGCCCCTTTAAGAAAGAATGAACCAATTGTTGGGCCGAACTTTGGTCACCTGCTGGCCGGATGTGGCCTGCGGGCCGCCAGTTCAATAGCCCTGCACTATATTGTAGTATTGCATGATGTCACTCTTAGTGTGTGTTGTAACTGGCTTTAGCTACTATGTCAATGTTTAGCTCAACGTCTAAAATATGACTGAATTAAAGTTTTTATTTTTTGTTTGTTTTATTTTTAAGGTCAGTTGGTTGTGGCTGCCATCTTGAATTTAATCTGACTGGCAAAAACATCTGTCTTTGTCCTCCGGGGGCGAGAGATAACATTTAGAAAACATTTAGAATTGTTGAGCTCTGAACTGAATCTTAATCATTGGACACAAATTACTGTTGGTCTGTAGATGGCACTGTTTTCCTTTCACATGGCAGACATTTATTTTTCTCCTCCCTTTTGCAGCTTCTCTCTCTCTCCTTTTGCTCTGAACTTTCTTTCTGTCCTCCTCCAGCTGTCCTCTCCCCCTCCTGACTGCAGACCTCAGTGTCCCCAAGATCCTGGTCCCCTCAGATCTCATTAAAACCAGTCTTTCATTAGCAGAGCTCACACTCTGACTGAGACTGAGTGAAGATGAGTACGGACAGTTCGGTAAACCACCGTCTTCCTTTCAAGGCACACTTTGTTCATGCGGTTGTGGTGTGTGTGTGTGAGTGTGTGCTGCTGATTTTCTTGTGTTCTGATTTTATTTTTAATTTTTTTGACATTTTCAGGACTTTTGTGTTAAAATTTTACCATTAAAATGTGATACTGCGTAGATGTTTTACAAAATAACTCAGTGATTCTTTTTACTAATCATGTTATTCTTTCAATCTATCACTTGTCTTGATACTTCTCTTGCAGCTTTTTTGTTTTGTTTTTAAAGGAAAGAAAATTGTATGGTGTGTATTTAATTTTAAAAAACTGAAAAATCTCCAGTTTCACAGCAGTGTGATGTGGGAAAACCTCGCCCGTTTTAAAGATCTTTAGCTCGAACATATTCCACTGCAGTGTGAGTGGTTTTGTCTCTATCTCCCTAATGGACCCGCCTCAATTATTCCACATTTCTTCAGTTTATGCATCAAGTGAGAACCCAGAATTAATCCTCATCCATAAAGTAACTTTTTGGTGGCTGCAACAAAAGAAACAAAGCTGCCTTTTTTTCCCTCTGAAAACCACCGGGAGCCTGGAAACGCTGAACGATGTTGTTCATTCCAAAGTTTATTTGCACCACCAGCTGCAACCAAAATCTCACCAAACTCTTTTGATATCACCACAGTGTTCCGCTTCAACTGTGGACCTGCACGCCAGGCTCGTTTCATGAGCTCACCGCAGCTTTTAGACACGCTCCCATTGATTTAGTGTTTCCATAAAACTCTGTTTTTCTGCAGGTGTTTGACTGTCATGGTTCGGCCCGTTTGTGTTCGTTCGTCTGGATC